TTAAAGAAACTGAAGACAAAAGACACTAGGAACAGGTCATCAAAGAAGAAGGTACCTTTCTCTGAAGGGAGGAGAGAACTTCCACTCTGACTACGACCTTGTCTAAATATGATCAGAGTCGGTGAACTCAAAAGGCTTCCATAGCCTTGGCAGCTCATGACAAGAGCCGAAGGTGATTACTGATGCCATAAACAAGAGTGTCAATTTGTTAAGTCAACAACAGGAGTCACTGTGCACTTACTCCTTATGTAGGATCTCTGTCTTTAATGTGCTGTACATTGTGATTTAAAGCTATAACTAGTACTCAAACAGTATTTTTCACTTTGTGTTTCTATATGGGTGCAAACTGTTGAAATCTTTACTTAATATATGCTAAATTGATCTTCTGTATATAAAGAGAATTGAAAATGATTCTTGATGTGAATGGAAGGGGAGAGGGAGCGGGAAAGAGGAGGGTTGCAGGTGGGAGGGAAGTTATGGGGGGGAAGCCATTGTAATCCATAAGCTGTACTTTGGAAATTTATATTCATTAAATAAAAGTTAAAAAAAAGACACTAGGAAATGAGTTACTCAACAATAACAAAAATGGTTAAATTTTTAAAAATACATTTAATAATTTCTAAAAGGCCCAACTAGTTTTGTCATGATAATCTGTGAATTTTTAGCAAATGCAATTTTTTAAAGATAAATATTTTAAAATCTTAAAAGTAAATTCCAAATGAAACAAACTCTAAGGAAACTGAATACAGTTTCATAAAATACAATTCCTAGGCCAGCGCCATGGCTCACTAGGCTAATCTTCTGCCTGCGGCACCGGCACCCTGGGTTCTAGTCCCGGTTGGGACGCCGGATTCTATCCCGGTTGCTCCTCTTCCAGTCCAGCTCTCTGCTGTGGCCCGGGAAGGCAGTGGAGGATGGCCAGGTCCTTGGACCCTGCACCTGCATGGTAGACCAGGAAGAAGTACCTGGCTCCTGGCTGTGGATCGGCACAGCGCTCTGGCCGTAGTGGCCATTTGGGGAGTGAAACAAAGGAAGGAAGACCTGTCTCTCTCTAACTCTGCCTGTCCAAAAAAAAAAAAAAAAAAAAAACAATTCCTTAAAAAAGAGAGTCCACATGGTTTTCAATTCCATACTATCATTCTCCTTCAAAAAAGTTGACTTCCTGTGCCATAGTAAAAATAATTTCATTACCAAAAATCAACTCTAAGAACAGGAAAACATTTTTGTTTCCGTGAGTTTTAACAGATAGCTAGTATCTGCTCTAACAATAAAAATGTGAAACTGGTATTCATCACCCAGAGTATCACCTTGCTATATATAGTTCAGATGCTCATGAATGTTATGTGTATGACAGATGCTCTGAGATCTTTTCATGGTCACTCATCTCAGAATAGAATGAGCGACACACAGCACTAAATTATATAACACTGTCACATCAGACACAGCCACAAGGACTAGTGGAAGCAATTTTAAGTCTGAAGAGATAAGACCATGTCACCATTCCCCAAAAGTAGATTGTATTATATTCCCTTTACATCTTTAAATTACAATTTATTCTCAGATATTAAACTCTACTCTCAGATTACTTAATGTTTACATGATGTTTTATCATTTTCCTTGACAGAAAATAAAGCAACCTAAATATTTTTTCTTCTGTTGCTCATATCCTGCAACAGACATAAGCATCTATCAAAAAGCAGTGCTTAAAGATGGTGATATCCTTACGAAAAAATGGAAATACCAGAAAAATAACCATACTGAGTTGTTTAGCTAGAAAAATTTAAACAATGTTACAGAATAATGAACATTATCATAAATATTTTTAAAAAGCTGCTGCTCCATCAGATAGAAGAGAATCTAAGTGGATACGCACCCTTCCTCATATTCTCAACTGAACATTTTTTCCACCCCAATTAAAAGATACTCAAGGGGCCAGCATTATGACGTAGTGAGTAAAGCTGCCGCCTGCGACACTGGCATCCCATATGGGTGCTGATTTGAGTCCCGGCTGTTCCACTCCTGATCCAGCTCCCTGATAACGTGCTTGGGAAAGCAGTGGAAGATGGCCCAGGTGCTTGGGTCCCTGCAACCATGTGGGAGACCTGGAAGAAGTGGAAGAAGCTCCTGGCTTCGGACGGTCCACCTCCGGCCATTGCAGCCATCTGCAGAACGAACTAGCAGATGGAAGATTTTCTCTCTCTCTTTCTCTAACTCTGCCTTTCAAATAAATTTAAAAAAAGATATTCAAAACAGGGCTTAAAATGAGTAATGAGCACAAGATAACATCTATATTTTTGAGGTAATGACATTAGTGAAGAAAACTTGGACTTAATTCAGTTCAACTCAATTGAAAATGCCTGTTGCAGCCTGAGCCCTCTAACGCTGAGTAAAGGCCTTGCCTTGGGGACTACCATCCGCTGGATAAGTCAGCAAACCATCATTATATGACGCAGTAAGGGCTACCTTCCATGCATGTACAAAGTACCTGGAAACGCAAGAATGGTGGCTAATAATTCTGCCCCAGGTTGAGACAGGATGGAAGTGGCATCTGAGCTGGGTCTTGCAGAATGAAGGAGGCAAGGAAAAGGGGTGACAGGAACAAATATTCCAGAAATGACAAAAACATGCATTTTAACCTGAAATATGAACTCACTGATTCTTCCGGCATTTCTGGGAAGAAAACTCCTGTTTCAGGTTGTTCAATAAACACAAATGCACAAATGACAATGCCCACAAGCTTTCTGGGTCTCATAATCCCGCCTTTGGAAAGCAAAGGGCCTTGTCAGTGATCTCCCCAGCTGAATAACCAATAGGAAAGAATGAAAGACTTGAAATGCTGCCACTACAAACAACAGCAAAACTGGTCATAAGTACAGGGGAAAAGTCCAATCAATTGGGGAATTTTAAATGATCCCATATATAGAAAAATATCTGAAAAGTACTTATTCAATTAAAATGCCATCATTATATAGCCATATTTAGAAATGATCTTGAATTGGAACAGGATAAACTATTTGGTAAAGTCAAGTGCATGACTCTATTCACTGGCTCTAGGTAAACACCTGCAGATAAAGACTGGCTGTTACTTCTAAAACATAATGGCCTTTTCCTTCCTGCACATTTTTGGTCTACTTTAGTCTGTGGCTGGCTATATCCTAAGACGTAAGATAAACTTAACTGCAAAGGCTACAGCCATTTCATTCAGCAAAGTAATTTTAAATATATCTTCTGATATAGACTTCGGATGAATAAACAGTAATCCAAACCACACAGCTTAATCCAGAATCTGGCCCAGGTTACCCTCTACAGTCAAGGAAACCGGGGTGTGTAGAAGTTTGTTCTGTCAGATGAGCTGAAAATGATCCCAAGTTCCAATCACCTCTAATAATCCAAGCACTTAGAATCCAAGGGTTTGGAACTTTCAACGGCCTGGGAATCTTGCAATCCCCTTTATCTCAGGCTGCAGCAACTTACCCAAACTTTGGGGAGCTCAGAAAATGAGGTGGAGTAGGCACACAAGTGGTGAAATCAGGAAAAACAAGAGAGTAACAGGAGCCTGATTAAAACTGGCCTATCTACAACTCCTGTCCCAGGATCATTAAGAACCTCATCTGGTGCAGTAGTTTCTCCTCCATTCTGAAAAGAGGAAATAAAACTAAAGAACAAGAAAATACAGCCATAATCCAGGGAAAAAACTAATAAGCCCTCCTTATATCAGTCAGCCAAGCAGACAGCAGGCCAGAGAATGGTGGGGCCTGCCACAGAGGGCTCTAGAGGCTGGGAAACGGCCCCATCTCAGCATCCGAGCTCTCCTCTCTGTGGCCCCTCACCTGAAAACGGGGACCCCACCACCTGCTCTGTGAGGCTGTGTGGGCCTGGGAGCCACACACTGAAGGGCCAGCCGTTGGCAAACGCGGGGAAAGCTCACGGGAACTTTTCTCTGGACTGCATACAAGAATCCCAAGAAAACACTGAACGCTCTGGGCTGTCTTGAAAGAACCCGCACAGCGGAGTGCCCAGGTTCAAGTCCCCGAGGGGATTCCAGCTCCCTGTTGGTGTACACCCTGGGGGGCAGGTGCTGGTCCCCCACCCGAGTCCCTGCCGCACAGGTCGGGGACCTGATGAGTTCCGGGCTCTGGCTTTCTTTAGCCCAGGCCCAGCTGTTGCAGGCATTTGGGAAGTGAACCTGCAGATGGGAGATCTCCCTTAATTCTCTCTGCTCTTCAAATAAATGAAAGTAAATAATTTGTTTTTTAAAAATAAGAAGTCTCTTATCTCACTAAATACACACACACACACACACACACACACACACACACCCCTGAGTGACCAGGAAGAGATTTCCAAGTTCAAAGAAGGAATTCGGCTCTCTGGGGCAGGGGCTGCTGTGTAGCCCACGGCGGCAGGCACATTTTCCCACAGCAAACCACCTGCTGTAGACCCCCCAAACACAGGCCCCCCACGCTGTTCGCACAAAAATATTGAATTGAAAGCCAAATCACAATTACTTGGTAAACTATCTAAGGCAGCCGCTCACAAGAGCTGCGTCCGGGGGTAGCGCGCCCAATCACACTCCCCCATTAATTATGAGACGAGGCGTTATCAAGGGGCCCCGAGCGCCAGCCGGGCACGTCCCGAGACCACTCGGCCGAGCCGGCGCGATCGCTGCGGAGCCGAATTCGAACCCGGCGCTCCCTGCGAAGGGCAGGTGCGGAGCCACGCCTGGGTGAGGGAGGCCTCGAGCGCCAGGCACACCGCGCTGGAACTTTCTGGTCGAGGCGGACCCCCGCGGTCCGCGAGCCCGACCCTGGACTCGGGGAGGGGCAGGGCTCGGGACAGGCCGCGGCGACCCCGTCAGGAAATAATGACAGCGCCCCGCGCGCTCGCAGCCCGGCCGCCCCGCCCGGCCAGGCCGGCGGGCGGCTCCCGCCGAGGGGCCAGGGGCCCGGCCGCGCCCCCTCCGTTCCCCTCGGCGCCCCCAGCCCGCGCCCCAGCCTCACCAGGTCGGAGCTGGAGGCCGCCGTCCCGGCGGCTGCACCACAGCGCGCGCTCGCCCTGCTGCAGGATGTAGTGGTCCTTGGCTTGGAAGAGCTCCATTGCCGGCTCCGCGCGCCGAGAGAGGCGGGGGGCCCGGGCCGGCCTCGTCAGCCGCGGACGCCCGAGCCCGCGCCTCAGGGAGGGACCCGAGCCGGACAGCAACCGGGAGGCGGAGGGAGCGCCCGGGGAGCCCGAACCGCGAGAGGAGAACGCGCCCGGGCGGCAGAGGCGGCGGCGGCCGAGGAGGCCTCTCCCCCAGCTCCTCCCCTTCCCCGACCGCTGGCTCCACCTCCTCCCCTGACTCCTCCCCTTCCCCGCCCCTTCTCCGGCTCCGCCCCGGACCCGCCGCTCCGCTCTCCGCCGCGGCTCCTCCCCCCAGCCGCCAGCCCCACCCCCTCCTCTGGCTCCTCCTCCGGCCCCACCCCCTGCGCGCTTCTTCCCGCCGCCTTCCTGCCCGGTCGGCTCTCCGCCTCCTCAGCCTTCTCCCGGACTTTGTCCCCTCACGCCCGGACCGGCCGCTCTTCCCCAAGCCCCTCCCACGCCCAGGCCGCCTTCCCGCCCTGGGCGGCCGCGGCGAACGCTCAGCGTCGCTGGGTCCGGCTGGCTCGGCCGTTCGGGAACAAACCCGCTCTCGGATCCTCGGGTTTGGCTTCCTCTCAGCGGCCGCCACACCTGACACCCGCGCCCCCTGTTCCCGCGTGTCTGAGAGCGAGCCGGGAAGAGCTGCCCCGGGGGTGGCTGCGGGGTCCATGGCAGGCCAGTGTCCACTAAGCGCGAGCCTCTGTGGACGCTTCCTACAGTACCCGTGACCTTCGACGGGTTCTCGCATTCAGTAAATGCACGCCAACGAGGAGGAGCACGTGACAAGGGAAAGCGCACAAGAATCTGCAGCATGGGGCTAAGGAGTGAGGGGGAGGGGAGGCAGTGCAGGTGCTGTCGTGTTCCGCCAGGAGAACTTCCTCGAAGGGGCTGGCGCGGGCCACGGTCCAGGCGCCCCTCGGGACACCCAGATTCTGCTTCCAGTCCTGGCCCGGCTCCGGATTCCAGCTTCCCGCTAACGCATTCCCTGGGAGGCAGCAGGTGGTGGCTCGGGTGCTTGGGAACTGCCAGCCACATGGGGGACCCAGACCGAGTTCCAGGATCCTGGCTTCCCGCCTGGCCCAGACCTGGCCGTCCTGGGCACGTGGGGGATTGAACAGCGGATGGAAGACCTCTCTCTCTCTCTTCCTCCACCCCCTTTCGAATGAGTAAAAAAGTAAAGGAGTTAATGATGTGGAAGGGATGGAATTTGGTGAGAAAAAAGAGGAACAGAGAGCCGCCTGTAGGAGGAGCCTCACCTAAGCATCTCTGAGCTCAGTCTGACCTGAAAGGCAAGGTGGCATCTTGAACAGAGGGGCCAGTGCTGTGGTGTAGAAGGCTAAGCCTCTACCTGCATGGCCTCCATTCCCTTTGGGCGCAGGTTCTAGTCCCCGCTGCTCCACTTCCAATGCAGCTCCCTGCTGATGCACCTGGGAAAGCAGTGGAAGATGGCCCAAGTGCTTGGGCCCCTGCACCTGCATGGGAGACCTGAAGAAGCTCCTGGCTCCCGGCTTCTGCCTGGCCTTGCCCCACGCTGTTAAGGCCATTTGGGGAGTCAGTCAGCAGATGGAAGCTCGCTCTCTCCCTCCTTCTCTCTCTGTATCTCTGCCTTTCAAATAAATCTTTAAAAAGAAATCATGGAGGGGCCGGCGCTGTGACACAGTGGGTTAACGCCCTGGCCTGAAGTGCCGGCGTCCCATATGGGCGCCAGTTCGAGGCCTGGCTGCTGCTCTTCCAATCTAGCTCTCTGCTGTGGCCTGGGAAAGCAGCGGAGGATGGCCCAGGTCCTTTGGCCCCTGCACCCGCGTGGGAGACCTGGAGGAAGCTCCTGGCTCCTGATCAGCACAGCTCCGGCCCTCGCGGCCAGTTGGGGAGTGGACCAGCGGATGGAAGACCTCTCTCTCCTCTCTGTGTGACTCTGACTTTCAAATAAATAAATAAATCTTTAAAAAAAAAAAAAAAAGAAATCATGGAGCAGGTGGCTTTTGGTAATAAGGTGCCCAGTTCCAGTCTGTCAGCAGTGTGCTCTTGGGGGGGGGGGGGGGAGTGTCTTGGTCTCAGTTGAACTTTGATCTCTAATTACCCTCCCAATTCTGTAAGTCTGTGAGTCTTGCCACACCTGTTTCCTGCCTTTAGCAGGAAGACAGAAGACAGGAGGTAGGAGACAGGGAACCCTCTGCTCCAGTGTGAAGGGGCCAGGAAGGCTGTCTACATGAGTGATTACTCCAGACGGTACTGATTCCCTGTCGAGGGTCCGTAGCACAAAAAGTCTCATGACAACAAAACGCCCTGCATCTCTTCTGATAAGTACTGTGGTGGGCTACCCAGGCACCCCAAGGTAAGGATCAAAGGGGGTGATTGCTATGACAAATCTTTGGGTGTGATGTAGAGAAAGATGATAATAGAGGTAAAAGATTCCCCTGAACCATCAGTTTTGGATTTATTGCTGAACTTGGCCATATGTTGACTTTTCTCAGAAAAAAAAAAAAAGACCTACAGTGTGTCCTGTAAAATATTTTGTTTTTAAATGAATCATTGTCAGATATGAACAATGCTGTTTTAACTTTAATATAAAATGGCTGTGGCATAGTAGGCAAAGACTCCACCTGCGGCACCAGGATCCCATATGGGCACTGGTTCATGTCCCAGCTGCTCCTCTTCCAATCCAGATCTCTGCTATGGCCTGGGAAAACAGTGGAGGATGGCCCAAGTGCTTGGTGCCCTGCATCCACTTGGGATCCCGACCCAGAAGAAACTCCTGGCTTCAGATCGGCCCAGCTCCAGCCGTTACAGCCATTTGGAGAGTGAACCAGTGGATGGAAGACCTTTCTGTTTCTCCCTTTCCCTGTAACTCTACCTCTCAAATAAATAATCTTTAAAAATAAAATGGGGCCGGTGCCACGGCTCACTAGGCGAATCCTCCGCCTGCGGCGCCGGCACCCCAGGTTCTAGTTCCGGTCAGGGTGCCGGTTTTGTCCCAGTTGCTCCCAGTCCAGCTCTCTGCTATGGCCCGGGAGTGCAGTGGAGGATGGCCCAAGTCCTTGGGCCTTGCACCTGCATGGGAGACCAGGAGGAAGCACCTGGCTCCTGGTTTCGGATCGGCGCAGCACGCCGGCCGCAATGTGCTGGCCATAGTGGCCACTTGGGGGGTGAACCAACGGAAAAAGGAAGACCTTTATCTCTGTCTCTCTCTCTCTCTCTCACTGTCTAACTCTGCCTATCAAAATAAATAAATAAATAAATAAAAATAAAAAAACAAAATGGCATAAGATATACATATAACCTACACACATATTTAATTTTTTTAATATTATTTAAAAGGCAAATAGAGATATTCCATCTACTGGTTCACTCTCCAAATGCCTACAACAGCCACTGCTGGGCCAGGCCCAGGTCAGGAGCCAGTAACTCAATTTGGGACTCCCACATAGGTGGCAGGGGCCCAAGCGCTTGGGCCACCATCCACTGACCCCAGGATGCATTAGCAAGGAACTGGATTGGAAGCACAGAGTTTTTGGGACTCAAACCAGGCATCCAATATGGGACACAGGTGTCCCGAGCAGTGGCTTAACCCGCTGTGCCACAGTGCCCTCCCTGACTTCAGACTAATTAAGCCAGAATTTAATTTGTGTGGGTCTGGCATTAGTACATTTTCTAAGAAACGTCCATGTGACTCTCATGTGCAGCCAGGATTGCACATCACTGTTTTTAATGAAATTAATTAGAAAAGTCTGCCAGCGAGTGGCTTGGAAAGAAACAGCAGTCAGTCATTAACCAACACCCTTGTATGGGACTGATTATCTCTAAATCCGGAGTTAGCAATCGGAGTCTAGGGAGGCAAACCTGCTCCTGTAATCTGTCTGACCCAAATGCACACTGCTGTCTCCCTCCGGCTTCAACCTGTGCTCCGCTGTGGGCCAGGCAGAGCCCTAGCCGGGCTGAGCAGATGGAACCTGTCCCTGGCAGGCGTCCACATCCCAGGCTCTCGGCCCAGCTGTGTTGCCTCGTTCCTGCTGTGAGTTCCTGCACCTTAGAGCAGACAGCTTCTCTGCTCCCAGGATGGCCTCTCATCTTCGGCCCACAGCTACCCTCTGGCAGTCATTACCCTCTTCCAGTCTCCTAATTCAAACTCTTCCTGGTGTCCCCCAGGATATGGTGGAAAGTCCACATGATGCTGCATTCTTTTTTTTTTTTTCAAAGATTTTATTAATTTATCTGAGAGGTTAAGTTACAGACAGGGACAGACAGAAAGGTCTTCCATCTGCTGGTTCACTCCCCAAATGGTTGCAATGGCCAGAGCTGTAAGCCGATCCGAAGCCCGGAGCCAGGAGCTTGCCCGGGGCCTCCCACATGAGTGCAGGGGCCCAACTGCTTGAGCCATCCTCCACTGCTTTCCCAGGCCATAAGCAGAGAGCTGGATTGGAAGAGGAGCAGCTGGAACATGAACTGGAGCCCATAGGGGATGCTGGTACTGCAGGTGGAAGCTTGGCCTACTATACCACAGCTTTGGCCCTGCTGCACTATTTTTAAAACCTGGACGTCCAAATGTTAAAACATATCGTGTATTTATACAGATTTAAGTATATTCACTAAGGAATTACCCTCTGACCAATTCTGTGTGCTACTGATGTAACTTAATCTCTTTTAGTCTCAATTTTCTTATTTATTGAAAAGGACGATTGTTGAGGGTTCTTGCAGTACTAAAATCATGAGTGAAAGAAAATATTTCCACATAGTTAAATCTATGCTGGCAGTAAATGGCCCAACTCTGACTACCGATTTGGTGTTCAGTGTCAGGCCTATTGCTTGTCTCTGAGATTGTGGAGTTCTTGTTAGACTTTGCTGTCCTCTGGTGAGATGTGATTTTTAACATCACCTCCTGTCTTCTGTCTACATATCCGCAGTTTTGCATGTTGAAAGCTTTTTTCATGTTGTCTATGTGAGAGAACTCTCCAAAAGGAGAGGGTTTTTGTATCTTTTTTTCCCACCTGCCAAGAGACTGCTCATTTCTCAGGTCAGCAGTAAGGGTGGCTTAACTTTAGGGTTAAGGTCCCAAGACACTCGCAAGCTATGCTGCTTGATTTGATGTGTCAACTTGAACGGGCCAGGGGACACCCAGATAGTTGATAAAACAGTATTTCTGGATATATTTGTGAAGGTGCTTCCACAGGAGGTCAGCATTTCAGTGGGTAC